TTTTGGCTACATAAATAAGGTATTTGACACGTGTCCTTTTCAGAAGAGCCACAAAATGCAATGAACCAGGTATGGAGACGTCTTCTAAGCCTTTTTTCCCCAAAAAGTATTTGACCCAAAAATAAAAGCAAAGGGACTCTGTTACCCAGTGATGTATTTATGTTACTCATTCGTGATGGGGACAAAATATAACGACAGCGAAACAGTACAATATGGCCAAGATATAATGATTATTGTTTATATTACTACAACACAGAAGAAGCCTTGTCATTGATCAGAAGCCACTGTACTAAGAAGTATATGAACACACACACACACAAAAAGATACCCTAGAAACAGAAGTCATGAAAGATGTGTACAACATACCACCACAAAATCTCAGTCAGTCAGTCTTGGCAGGGCAGCAGTATCACCATCAGTTTTTCCTGCCACCACCAAGACAAAGAACACTGCTGAAGAGTCAGAGGAAAACAGGGGATAACTGGAGCAGGCTGTGTGGAATTATTTTAGTATAAAGCTTTTTACTTGCTACAGCTGAGCCTGCTAAGTGAATTGCTTGAACATAAGCTACCCACTTCAAGCTAATTTGCATGATCCCTCCTAATGCAGGTTTTACAGAACGACATCTGTAATTTATTCCTACAGTGTCTAACAGTAATTTTCACTTAGGTTCCAACTTTCGTTTTATCTTCAGCTCATTACTTCAGTACTTGTATGAATTCAGTAAGTCCATGAATTTTATTGGGAATTTCCAGCGTTTAGTGGCCATTGCCTCCTTTAGGAAACCACATGTGAAAATTCAGACCTTCCTGAAGTTTTCTTGAATACCCCACTGCACGTGATTTTGGAATTCTATACGGCAGCTATAGCTTTTCCATGCATTGTCTTATGCAGTTTCTAGAATCAACATTTAGCTAGGATGGAACAGCAAAATGAGCAGAAAGAGGAATAACCAAATAATCTGATTTATCTTCATAAAGAGTTTTGAGTCATGTTGAATTTGTACTAAGCCGGTACCTGAATCTCATCTTCAGTAGCACTAGATGACAGAAACTGAAAAGCTTCTACTTATTTCCTTCACCAGCCTGAATTCAAATCCTTGACTTTGTAGAATTTATGCCAATTCTAAGAAAAATCCAAACCACAAATGTTGCAACACAGTTTCTAGGCTGAAACTCAAGAACTGCTTTTTAAAATTAAATCTCCATGTTACAGAACTACTATAAAATTATAAACCTCTGTGTCTTACATTTGGGGTTTTTTGTTTTCTCCTTTCTTCCTGCTATGTGAATGTGTTCAATCTCATGTTTTGCGCACAATACATTTGTTTAGTCTGTCACTTTTTTGTCTTTCTCCCTAACTTCTATTCAGTGTTCACACTAGACAGAGTCCAAATAAATCCTAACCCTACATTTAATTTTTTTTTGCTACTGAGTCACAAATACTAAATAGTTTATCTAATAAATAGAAAATATCCTTCCTGTATCAGATCCAGATAACATATGTGATATGAGGTATAAAGATTTTGTGTGTGAAAATATATGGGATTACGTCCATTTAGCAAACCTGAGCCATTCTGCTCCCCCACCATAGAGAAACTTGAAGAGGAAGGAAGATTCTCCAGGAAGTCTATGGTAGTACATGGGGTTTGCTCATCTGACAAACTTTCAGGAGAAAGTATTTTGTGAATGTGCAAAAGTCTGTAACTGCTAAAAGGCACACTGCTCAAGAAAGTCAGAAACTGTCTGCTTAGCTTCTGTAAGAATGGTAATTGTACATCTGGTGTCCTGAAATGCCTTCTCAGCCAGAGAGGAACTTGGAAGAAATAGTGAGTCACACTACCAGCTTTTGATGTGAAAAACCTGCCAGTAAGTGCTTGTGGAATATTGCTGCTCTCCTTCTGCCTGGATTCCATTAAGTCCTGTCACCACAGAACGTTTGGAGTCAGCAATATCACTCCTTCCACTTTTGTGCACAGCACACCTCTGCTTGAAGTGCTACATATGGATCCTGCACATACTGAGGCCAGTGAGAGCATCCCAATGGATTTTATGAAGCTAGAACAAACTCCAGTTTGCACAGTTAACAAGCCAAAACAAGATAAAATTTGAAAAGATATGGAGATGAAAAAGAAAACTTTATCATACTGAAATATTAAGAGCCAGAGGTTGTGATTTGTTCAGTAGGTAAGCAATGCTAAATCCCTCTAGCTTACCAACCAAATCTGCTTTATACCTGCAAATCTGAGGTATACTCTTCAGTGCAAAAGTCTGTTCAGTAGTATAAAACAGGTAGTAACTAGTTTTCATTAATTCTCAATGAGCTCCATTAAAACTATCAGATTGTAAATTGCTGCTTTTGCCTCATTTTTTTAGTCACAGAAAGATACTTGTTTAAAGCTTAAAGTATATTCACTAGTAATTCTTTGGTGCGGTTGCAATTTCTTTGCTGTAATGTTTCCTTTTAAGTTTTCATATCTTTACTATTGCAACAAGATTCACCTACTGTCATATTTATAAGAGCTTTGTTTTTATATCTTTAAATGATTTCTGTTTTGCTTTAGTGATATGTACAACTCTATTTTGGGGAGTCTTAACTGCTTCCAAAAAACATCAACTATCACAGTTTTTATTATGAAATAAAAAGGTGCTTCTTTCTGTATTTGGACCTCCTACGTCCTACGAAAGCATATTGCAGGTTATTGTTACTTGCCACTTCAATAAAGGTAAGCTACACTATATAAAACTGGAAAGGAAGGAACCATAGCTTCAATAAAGCCATTAGCCAGATAGCAGTTAACTTCAAATTCTGGCATCCATGATGTCTGACCTCCCTTTTTCACTGTACTTATGGTTGAGACAGCCCCATCATCACCTGGCAAATTCATGAATGATAATCACTGAGAATATAATTACATGAATGCAATTACTTTTGGCAAAAGAAACTTTTAAGAGCAAAAGAAGCTTTATCCTCAATGAAAACATTTAACTGAACATTACTACCTGAGACTTTATACTTTTCAAATTACAAAGCATCATGAAACAAATTTTATTTAAAACTGCAGTTATAAAGTACAAAGTCACAGAAAGACTTACCCTTCATAAAGTTCAGGTAAATGTGATTTAATATTGACACAGCCTCAAAAGAATCTTTAAGTTGAACAGGCAATACTACAATGCATTCTATAAATTATTCCATTGACCCTCTAAAGCAGGGATAGCTTATAATTAATACTTGAAACAAGGGTAACATACTTAAGAACAAAAAAGCTTATAAGATCAGAAAGATCTAATTAGCCATCTCAAGGAAATATTTAACTCTATTTGGCACAGAAGGAGATGAATCTCACCCACAGCTACGACAAAATCAGCTATTGCTGGATCTACTCTGATAGGTCTATCTACTGGTGAAAAATATTCTCTGTCAACAGTATCACGTACCTGGACAACAGATAAATTATCACCCTTAAAGTTGACTGTGTGTAGGAAAATTAAAGCAGAATAACACTTCCAGGTCTCTCTAATAGCTTTATGACTTAAAAGTAACAAAAAAACCCCAACCCACCACGCCAAAAACTCCAACAATACTTAAAACAGGCTTTCAGAAGAAATGTGTTATTCTTATGAGTATTATCACCATCTAGTGACCCTTGCTTACAGACCAATTTAGCTACTAGCTTGAAAAGAATACCTTTGTCATGCAGGACAAACTGAAGCCAAAAGCTATCATTACCTCATTTAGCACCATAAAAATGAAGTAGCATTACACATGTAGTTGTCAAGGAATGGTGGGCAAAAGGAACCACAATGATCATAATAAGGCAAAAACTAACTGAAAATACACAGTTTGATTTGATAACAAAACATTTTCAAAATCCCAGCACTGATACTGAATATACTAATATTACTCATACTCAACTTTAAATTACTCATATTCTATAGACATATCTGTATGTGCATTTGTATATATATTTGTACATATATATGCATATATATACACACACATGAATCCTTAATGTTGAATGAACTTTGGAGAACATAAAAAAATCACCAAAATTTAACAAACCATGACAAAATCAATAGCCATATAGTGAAAAGAAACAGAGGACTAGAATGATAACCAAGTTCAGAATGTTTTCTTACAGATTTTGTTCAAGCTGCACAGGCCTAGCACATAGCAATGTTTCAATTCACCTTCAGAAATAAACCATGGGGTTATAAATGTCAGAACCAAGCTGTGTTTCTTACACACATTTTCTTCTCTGTCAATCCTGAAATTTTTACAAAGACTATTTACTTGAATCTTTTAAAATTCACCTGTGTAGATTTATTCATGCAGTATCTTTTAATTAGAAGACCACAAGTTGCAACAATTACAGTTGAATTGTATCAGTTACAGTTCAGTCAGAACACAAAATTGCTCTTGACTCAAGAGCCAGTACAAAGGATGCTTTCAGCACTACAGGACACTTATGGCGAAATCAAAGACACAATTAATAGGGCTCTTTCAACTGAAAAGCAGAAGTTTAATACACATAGAGAGACCCAGGCATACTTTTTTTTTTCAGGACTTCAAAAGAACCCCATACTATAGTGTGCTAATAAATATACATTAAAAGATTTTAAAGTTAGTAAAAACTAAACTACAGTAATGAAACAGTTGAGAGGTCTACATTCCTAAACGTTTCATTTACAGTTTTTAAACAGCTGTAAGACTAAGTTAAAAAAAAATAAGATGCAGCCTTTTTTGACAGGTTTGCAAGTTATTCAAGTAATGTCTACTGAAAGTCACCTCTGAGAATTTCTGTTTCAACAGCTAAAATTCAAGTCTTACCTGGAAAAGGATGGCAGCATAAAACCAAGTATGCAATTACAGTTACACAGTTTAAAATTCCTAGCGCATATCAAAACATAAAAGCTCTTTGTTCCACTCTCATTTAAACTGGCATGTATGGCTTGCTGCGAGGTGTACCTGACCTAGTCTGCAGATTGATGTGCTACCTATGGTGGCAGTGTACTGTTGTGAGAAGAAATATTACTAGGGAAACAGTAGAACATTTCTTTTCCATGGCTACATTCCTGGGGATGCAATATAGTCAAAACAAACCCAACTGTCATCACTAGCACACCGACAGCAAGAATCAGGCAGGATATGAGGTTATCTGAATGGTTCCATCGCTCTTTGGACAACCTTAGGTAACACGCTGTTGGGATGATAAAAACAAGTGGGGTAGCACTCAGAACTCCCTGTGTGTGGGAAACAACAATAGAAAAAACCCTCATAAGCACATATATTTAGATGTGAAGAACAAACCCCTAAATTTTTAAATGGTTGTGATCAGACTGGTAACAATGGTAAAGTCAGAGAATAGAGGCCTTTGCCACTGTTGGTATATGCAAAACTTCCTTTTCAAAGTAAAAAGTTACTTGCAGGAATATCTGTAAAATGATTTGAAATAATTCAAATTTATTTAAATGCTTTTTCTTTGCTGATACATAGTAGTATTTTCTGCTGCAAGTACTATTAATTCTGGTTATCAGAAGTTTCTCAGCTTCAGAAGTACAGTAAAAGTCCAAACATACTGGCTCTGCAATACTATAACTGACTTAAAATATTTAAGATCATTCCATGTAGGAGATATAATACACCTAAAAAAAAATAAAGTGTAAACATCATGTAGCAGTTCAAAGAATTCTGATCAGTTTCTACATTTATGACCTGATTTGGGTTGACTTCCCTATGAAAGCAAAGCTCCCTTTGAGAGAATTAAAAATTCAACTCCTCTTTAAATGCTCTCTTAGATAGGGACAGCTAAAACGCACCTGCTTAAATAGTTTTTACAGTAAAGCTGCTGCAAAGTAACATACAAATTACATGCCAAAAGAAAGCATTTTAATGCAGAAATGCTGAATGTTTACTTTGTCACATAGTTAACAACACTATCTTTCAACTTAATTATGGTGAGGTAGTAATCCAGTTTACTGAATATCTTTGCTTCATTGTTTGTACTAACATTTGTGTTACAGGTGTTAAAAGTGATCAGTGTAGAAAACAAAAATCTTCTGGAGAAGAGAAGGCCGTGTAGAGACCTCATAGCAGCCTTCCAGCATCTGAAGGGGGCCCTGTAAGGATGTTGAGGAGGGACTCTTTATTAGGGACTGTAGCGATAAGACAAGGGGTAATGGGTTCAAACTTAAACAGGGGAAGTTTAGGTAAAATATAAGGAAGAAGCGCTTTACAGTGAGGGTGGTGAGGCATTGGAATAGGTTGCCCAAGGAAGTTGTGAATGCTCCATCCCTGGCAGTGTTCAAGTCCAGGCTGGGTGGAGTCTTGCGTGATACAGTTTAGTGAGAGGTGTCCCTGCCCATGGCAAGGGTGTTGGAACCAGATGATCCTAAGGTCCTTTCCAACCATAACTATTCTATCATTCTATAATTCTGTATCTATTCATGCTAGAAAGACTCACTGGAAGTTCTCTGATGTAAATTTATTCTTAATATAGTATACCATATCATAAATGTAAAACATATGTGTGTGTGTATATATATTATATGGGCACACAAAGTTAATTAGGTTCATTAAACCAGTATTCAGATATTTGCCCAGAATATGCATGTATGTATGCACACATTTAAATACTTTTGTTGGTGTGTGTATATATACACACACAGGTGAATTTTCTGCACTTGCAATGTAAAAACAGAGGGGAAAAAAGATGGAAAAGAAATTACCAGCAGATGCCATGAGTGAGAAAATTTTAATGGAAACATGCATCCTCACCAAACCAATAGGAAGAGTGTTTATTTTGAACTAGTTATGATTTGTTATGTAGGTAATTATTTAAAATCCAGGGTAATTAGATAACTTATCTGAATATTCAGACCTGTTCTATAATATTAGTACAAACATAACGCAGTAAAATCACAGCTACAAAATCACTCATTACTGTTCAGTTAGCAGGTAAACTGCACTGTGGATCAAAATGGTGTACTTGTATGTACATACAAGTATGTGTATCACATAGCATAAATAACAACTCCCTCTTTTTTTTCCCATCAATAAGCATGCAATATATAGCTTGAAAATATCAATGATATTTTCATTGGACAGGGATGTAAGAAAGCAATTCCAAAATACTTCTATAATGAAGTAAAGGCTGTCCTTAAAAAGTTTTCTCCATGTTCTAACTTTCATATTCTGGAGTATATTTCCACGTCTTCTTTACTTATTAATAATAGCTGAGTACTGTGTATAGTTCTGGTGTCCCCAACATAATAAGGACATGGAACTCTTGGAGCAAGTCCAGAGGAGGGCCATGATAAGGGGGCTTGAGCACCTCCCATACAAAGACAGTCTAAGAAAATTGGGTCTGTTCAGGCTGGAGAAGAGAAGGCTGCATGGAGACCTGAGGGAAAAATTCCAGTTACTCCCTCTGTGGTTTCACTACTACTGGTTCTTTCTTTATCCCCCTGCTTGTTTTTTTGTCTCTTTGGCACAAAGCAATCTTTAGGATTTGATCCAGTGTTTAGTAATTTGCCAACTTCATCAGAAGCAGGGATTACAGAAAAACATGCTAGATTCAGTCCTGCAATACAGTTAGGATGAGTATTTTAGTGACTTCTGCTGTACTTAAGATACATTTGGTAAGTCATAGCCATTTGCCGTATCTCCAGAACCGCTCTGAAAGCCCTCCCCAACTATATGAACTTTACCTCTGAACTCCCTTTCTCCTGTGATTACCCAATTTTGAAAAAATGAATAATTCCTTTTTTTCCCACTAATATTACTACTGACCACTATGGTGAATTACATAAGATTTTTCAGTAGACCTATGGATTTTTCATAGTTCTGTTTTATAAAAAAGTGATTTATTAAACAAGAGTATACAAGTTCACTTACATTGAGCTCTAAAACTATTCCAAGGCAATCGTATACTAATGATACACCAGTCGCCACAGCAATGATAACTACTGTCACAACAATATGGAAAACTGTGGAGAGGTTCCCATGGAAAAACACATTGGCAATCACCTGAAACAGAACCACAATTTTAAACCTGGGTTTTGATCTTTATGTTAACAAACAGCTTATTCCAAATCTTCCAACATTAGGAAACTAAAAGAGTAGTTGAGAATACACTGACCGAACTCTACCTATTTTGCTTCAAGAAATCATCTTCATCCACTTCCAAAAATAAGTCATAAAAAGCATTACTAAAATTGCAGAACACATGCAAGACTAACTTAGCTATACCTGCAGGATTTAGGGTATACTTACTTTCTTCTCATTTGCCCATTACAGAATAAAAAATTCCAACTATTTACTGAATAGATGGATTTCCTAGATGGAGATACTTTCACAAATCAAAACTATTAAGCATGATAAATATACTATTTTTGGCGACTCTCAACATAATAACAACAGTGGTATCTATGTCAAACTTAGAATTTTAAGCAGTCCTGCTATTAATATAATATTGGATAATATTATAATAAATGGAATACAGCATTATGTTACCAGAATCCAAACAGTACAATTTCTACCCATACTCATTGCATGTAATAGAATAGGATATGATGATATTTATTACAGATCGACCACTGACTTCAGCTACAATATGTATTAATAATGTGAGAATAATATTAATATATCTCAACATTGTTAATTCGAGAATAGTAAATTCTTACCTCTCTGGTCACAAAACATTCAAGGGGGAAGGTCAGAATTACAGTAACTCCATAACAAAATCTTCCAAATGTAGCAAGACTGTCATCTCTACAGTAGTTTTCAAATAGATCTCCTGAGGCATAGCAAAACATCAATTAGTTTGAACTTCATGTCACTGGCCTATTTGCAACTTGAAGTGTAAGTTACCGGAGTTACTGGAGTAATTGAGACTTTCTGATCCCCTTTCCTGACTTATCTCTAAAAACTCTATTTACAGTCACAAATTATGTCCAGGAGGAACCTTCATCTTATCCTGCTAGTAGGAGTGTTTTTATTTCAAGTAGCATTTATCTTTCAAAAATATTTTAACATATATACACTAGAGTTTGTCATCTGCTATTTTCCCCTTAGCACAGCTTTTGTACAAGATGCTGGTGTTTAAGTAAACATGTGACAAATTCAGAAAGAAAGCTTGTATGTGAAAGATACATTTCCTTTAAAAATGTAATTCCTACAACAACAATTACACAAAGACAACCAGAGAGTTACCTCTGGAGAAATGCTTTTTTTGATAGTATCTAATTACAGCTGTAAGCTGCAGTAAAGAATTTCAAATATTCTGACCCCAAAAGACCGTTATAAACATATGAATTATTACCCAGCAAATCTTCTTACATCTAACAACAAAAGCATTGCTAGAGAATTGAGATCATCATCTTGCTTAGAGTTTACAAAGACTCTGGAATAACGACCTCTGAAGCATAACAGACACTGCAAGACAGCGATCAGATGATCTATCGGGTCTTTTCTACCTGATTACTATACTGTCTTATGATTTACTACTTTTATAATCAAAACAGCACTGAAGAAGCAATAAGGCATACTTTAGAGAAAACAGACAAAAGATTTTGACAGGGGAAACAGAAAGTAAAATGGAACCTGACTGCAGTAGAGTCATATGTTGAGGGACAGCTGCAGTCAGAGCTTTCTATGCTTGAAATATCTCAGCCAGTTTGCACTTAGTCTAGTTACAGGTGCATGGAGGACAGTAACTTATTCAGCATAAACAGCACAAGAGGCAGAAAAAAAAAAGACAGATCAACCAGTAATCTACATCCTACAATTCCTGTTCTCAACTAGATGCTGCTACTCTTCAGGAAAGGAAAAGCCCGGAAGCCGCCTATGATTTGGAACAGCACTATTAAATAACAGAAAATCTGCTTGCCTATGAAATGTGTATTTTTCCTGAAGAAGCTAATGCATTGAACAAATTTATGCCTTGTTCTTCTGAAAGCACTTTTTCTACTTCAACAAAATTATGTTAAATAATATGATGTAACATTGATTAGATATATTTATACATATATGTATATTCATATACCCATAGTAGTAACAGTAGGATTAGTTACAGCAAAACAGCTGTTGTAAAGATAGGAAATATCTCCAAGTCAGAGGTAGGATGCTATATTAGCACAGACAGGAAAAGATATGGAATGTACAGAAATATATGCCAGGCACCCTGTAGAAAAATTAAAGCAATTTTTGTTCTTACTGCCCTCTGCTAAATTATTTGGCTAAATTACAGAGGCTTAGTCCTCAGAAATATGCTGATTATGGAAGTATTCAAAGGGGACTTTGACTAGTGAGGCTTACACTTGGGAATCTGACACCTACTAGCATGCAGCTAACATCTTTGTATCCTGTTTTGGTTGTTGGGGAACTACAAGGAATGTCCTAACTATTTCTGTCCAAACACAGTATGACTTTGGCATTTTTACAGTCACTAAGATATTAGCAGCAAAAGTCAGACAGAAAGGTGGAAATGTAAGGGTTACAGCAAGCACCAAAATTGAGGTATCAAGCAGTTTACCTTCTGTGTATCCTGTAAAAGTCATATATCCACATGCAGCGAACACTACACTGATAATAACAGCAAATGAAACAGACACATGTGTGACTCGAGACCAGTTCTTTAATGTGGGTTCTTCCAGAGACCCGTATACTAAAAAGCTGTTATGGTTGCAGATGAACGCTGAAACACATGACAGTTGAAGCAAATGTATGAATTCATGCATATAAAATAAATTCCAAGGTAGGGGAGAGACAGCACAGTTTGAATCCACTCATTATTAAATACAAACATTAATCCTGCAACGAGTGGCAAAGATAAATGGCTTGAACTTCTACTTATTTGATTTGATGAGGTTTATATTCATCCTGCAATGATTCTGATTTCATTACCCTAAAATGCCATACTGTTTCCCACCCTCCACACCTCCATTCCACCTCTGTTTCCTCTTCTTGCTCTTTGCTTAAGAACCCAACAGCAGTTTTGAGATTTATTTTTTTTTAACCACAGACCCATTTGCTACTTTCAGACTTCCTATAACATCCACTTTAGGCCTCAGATTATCACAGCATTAAGAAGCAGCAATATACTGGATCCTACGGGCAAGAACAGATTTTAGAATGAGGATAATGGAAGCGAGTTGAGATTCACCTGAATGTTTCACTGTGAGAGATGAGAAGTAACAGGCACTCTCCAGTGAATAGATGAACTGCAGTCTAAGATTTTTTTGTTAGTGGTTATCCAAGAGAACACAGAATGATGACTTCCCCTTCAGTTTATCGGTTATACTAAGCCTGTTGGTGCAGGTGTTTTAGGATGACCTGGACAGTTGAGCTGGATTCACATGCCACACTGCTGTCTGTGCTATAGTGGCAATAGCCTCTATGGAATTACGAGAATAATGGGAATAATGTCTTAAATCTTAACAATTAAATTCATATGGATGTCTCAAAGTCAATTTTGTTTTTTTCTAAACCATCTTAGTATGAATACATTAAAAAAAACCCAAACAATTTCTAGGTCTGAAATATTAAAGACTTTAACTGTTAGAGTTGATCTGAATATTGAAAATACAAAAAAAAATTACTTACCAAATGACATCACCCCAACAGCTTGTACTGCATTTGATTTTGCAAACATCCATGCATTTTCTGATTTGGGTCTAAAACAGAGATTTGTTTTAATAGATCATCCCCTCTTCAAGTATCAGTTATTAAAAATAACGTAAAATACTATGTTGTAATACAGAACTGCTAGACAGATCTCCAGAACTCTCTCAAGTAGTGTTCATCTCAAGTTGACACTATTCTTATAGGTGAGACCCCTTCTCACCTCCCTTGTTTTGACTAAAGTATTTCTGTAACCAGTTTTTACAGTCAAAATGTCAGCCTGTTTCAGTTTTGTAAATAAACTCTTCAAGTCATCATATACCAAGCAACAGGGAAGGTTAAAACTGTTACTGATTGTGACTAAGGTTATCTCAACCCGAAATCTCTTCTGGCTACTTAGAGGCAATTTCTTCCTTTGAATTTGCACATGTAATCCACACAGTCTAGAGACGCTTTTTTTTTCCTAGTCTACAAATCAAGTAATGCAGTTTGCCTTTCTTTACACCTGTTCCAAATATTCTTCTTAGTAAAGGGATTCTGCTAGTTCCCAAAGGAGTGATAAATCAGGCAAGAATGCAATAGCCCCCACATCTACTCTTGTAAGTTATGCTCACAATTTTGGACCTGTGGTAATTGTAATTCTTAGAGGAGGACCACAGAAAGCCATCAGCAAACTGTTAAAACCCATTTGATGCATGAACTTCCCCTCTGAATAAAGAGCAAAAATGAAGGAAAGGAGAACACAAAACATAATTTTCCAAAACTGCAATTTGCTAAAAATATCAAATGAAATTCAAGAGCCAGTTGAACATTGTGTTTGTAATTAATAATAAAACACAGACAAAAGGAGTAGCACAGAGAACTTGCTCTTAAAAAGATGGCTGCTGCTAACTTTGCTCTGTTTTTATTTAGAGGGAAAGCTGCTGCCACCTGAGGACTTAGCTGCTACTTTCCTACTGCCCTGGAAAGCAGTATGGCACTCATGCCAGTTCTGTGAAGGCAACAAAGGCAGCTTTGTCTCTCCCTCTATCTGGTGGCATAGTGGCATATGCTATGCTAGGTTTCATTGCTTTCAAGTGTTTAAACTCCACTCCCAACCCCTAAAAATAAAAATTAAAAAAAAATAAATAAAAAAATGCTGCTGTTTCCTGTTTCAGAACTTGTCTCTTACTATTTCTTGAGAGCTCAGTCAATCCTTCCTTTTCCATATTAAAAAAAAAACCCCAAAACATATCCAATGCACATTCAGTTCAGAATTAGAGCACTTTTTTGGCTCTTAAACTGTGGTTGCTAAGCTTAACTTTGAAGTGGATGGAACCTGAGCATCAAAATCAAGTTCAGTTTTTTGCCCACAGATGCAGTATGTTGTCTTGACCACTGTAATACACTGCTTCTAGTCTTAAGCAGCTGAATATGGCCCTTCTAAAACATTCTCAGACTCAGCATATAGATGTAATAAATGCTATAGATGAAATAGAGATATCTGGCATTTGTCTGGTGAAATAGGAGTTCCAAATCGCTATAGCTGTTGTAGTTCCTTGTATAGAGCAGCCTCCACTAACCTGATGCCACTGATACCAAATCACTAGAGATGTCTGTGGACAATTCATATCCATAATTTTGAATGTACTATTTTTCAGGAAAACATTCACATCTGATTTGAAGAAAATCAGTATCTCAGAACAAAAATAGAATATAGAAAGTTAACATTATAACTGTTCCATTCGGTAACCACTAGAGGTCATCTTTGATATCAAACATACAGAATGAAAATTTCTTTTACATTATCCTTTGACAACAGAACTTGTGAAAGTATCCTTATCTCCTTTTCTATTAATAATTAACATTTATATTTTGTAATGCCCTATAAATCAATGCACAGAAATAAAGAATGCTTTTGTCTGAAGCACATAATTTCTATGAAAATGGTACTTCCCATGTAACAGCATAACTATATTATGAGCTTCTACAAGTAGGGATTTTAAAAAAATGAACGTAGAAAGCATGTGAATTTAACTTTAAACATTTTCAATAAACTGGCCAAATAATCAATTAAAAAAATAAAAACACAGCACAGGAGATAGTTTTTCCCCTGCACAATGCTACCTTATACACTAGCAATATGCAACAAAACAAAATATAGCTTTGCTTTATGGCTAAATGACAAATCAGATTAAGAGCATGGGGGGGGGGGAATACAAAAGAACAAAATCCTCCTTATTTTGCAGCCTAAGAAGATAAATTCCTTCCATTCTAGTTGCAGAACTGAGGAAGAATATCAGATCCACGATGTGAACACTACCAGCAGACTGCAATGGCATACAGTGCATGATGGTACAGATGACATATGCAACAGCACATGACTCTTCCTTACAGTAAATCATATACTGCTGCATGCATTTAGAAAAACATTTTCATACCCTGGGAACACAGGGATCTCACAGATGTGACACATAAACTAAGAGAAAGCAACACAGTAAGAAATTCAATTTCTGAGTGAGTAGAACTAAGAGTCAACAACTCTAGAGTTCTAACCATATCAACAACAAATCAGGCCCAAGTCCAGTCTGCAGGACTTACAAAGCTCACAGGAAGGGGTGCAGCTGACACGAAAGTGTGTACATAAAATAAGACTTCAGACTGGGAAAGACAAAATTGTGTCAGGAAACTACCTGTTATGGAAGAGCCACACACTGAGTAATTACATAAAATTACTCACAAGACAAAGGGCACCTAATGGCAATATCAAGTATTAAGGTGAACATGCATACATTCATATAAATATGTGTGTCTGTAGGCAGATGCATACACAGGCTGAAAGCGTCTTATCACAAGAATACCAGGTAACACTATGCCTCTTCGGCATTTTCAACCCTGCTGCTACTGTTCAAGATTGAATTCTAGTTTGGCTTTTTTGTGTGGTTTGTTTAGGGTTTTTTGTTTTGTTTTGTTTTTTGAGAAGGACCTTTGTTCTGACCAGTCTGACCTACATTCTTGTTAAGAATTGTTAGGGGAAGATTTTAAGTGCTGCTCATACATTAATAGAATAGCTATGAACGTTCATGAATAACAAAACCAGCTAATACCTCAGTTGGTATATAAAAACACAGGCTATATAGAAACATAGGTTATGTCTGCATGAACACAAAGCTTTTTTCATGCTGGAGAAGATGTAGATAGATAAAACACAATAAAAGTTGCAGAATAAATACATTTGTGACACTAAATGCACTTGTTAAGAGCTGTACTGCCTATCATTCAGTAGGAGTTGTAACAGAATAAAAACTGAGAGGTAATATAACTGATTCTTGGAATGAAAATAGTAAAAGATTGAAGAAAAGACATTCCTAGGGAGATCCCAGACAGGAAAAAGTCTTACCTGAAAGTAAGACAACAGCAAGATAGACTGACAAGAACTGTCTGTAGGAAGGTAATAAAGCCTAGTGACGAAGAAAGCCTAGAGGTTAAGAAAATTACTTGGTCTTCAGTATACTTACTGAAAAGCATAGCATATAAACATGCTAATGACGTTAAAAAAGTTTTGAAAATATTTTTGTTTATCTATATAAGAACAAGGGAAAATGAAAAGAACAAATGAACCAGGCAAAAGTTAAGACTTCCTAACAGCGTAAACCAGGGCATTTCACATCCAGATTACAAGTAAGAGTCGGGAAATTTGTTTGGCAGTTTAAACTAGTGTATCTTCTACTTCTTGTAAAACATTTACAATATAACTTTCCTTAAGATCCATGCTATGCAAAAATCTTTTCTGTCATTTATGTAGAAATGCTTTGAAATGCAGTACAGCAGCAGAGTGCACCTCAAGCAAAATACCTTTACAGAGAGCAAGAGAAACATAGATCTCTGATCTCAACCCAGCTTGCAGGTATGAAACGTTGACTGGGGGAAAAAAAAAAGGTAATACGTAGAGAGGAAGCAAAGTCCTATGTTTGACAGGGGAGTTACATGCCGAATGAGCAAAAGACTTCCATTGTTTTGGATTGAAGATCAGTGTCAAACCTCCAAGTTTAGGTGCAAACTGGCAGTTATCAAAATAATCCAGGAACACACGTCAGATTAATTCAGGTTTAAATCAATGATTTAGACATTTAGGAAATTAATTGTAAAATTTTAGTTCCATTCTAAGCTAAAATACCTCTTTAGTTTTTGTTTAAACTTTAAAAGTTGAAAGATACTGAAAAAATTTATACATGTTGAATATAACTTTCATCAATATAATGGAAAGAAAATGAGTAATGCTCACATCAGCCTTGAATTTTATGTTAATCAAAGTCATCTTGGTTGTTAAAGAACACAGACAAGGCAAAGCTACATGTCAGCCCCACTTAGTTACAGCTGCTTTAATGACTCTTTCTTCCTTAATGAACTACTTAGCAGTTCTGTAAATACATGGTAGTTTAGTTTTATTTTTTAATTTCATCACACATTAAAGTTTCTTTACTTACTATTGGATTATTCTATGAAGGAAAGAATCAACTGTCTACTTTCAAGTTATTTTCCTGAACACTTGGTGTTTCATTCCTGTGATCAGCTGCCAGCTGAGTAATTCTCACATCTTATTTATGTGTAGCAGATGCTCTTGAAGTTTTTCCTAGAGATTTATGTATTATGCAGACACTGACATCATGACATTCTTTCCAAAAGAACACAAAATTAAAATGATGCGTCTTTATAAGCTACATAAAATATTGCTTTTTACAGCAATGGATGTTAGTTTCAGCTTTGAAGCATGAAGTTATTTTATACAGTATTAACATACAGTACGTTTACAGTCCGAGATAATTATAACCCATTGTTTTTGATCACAGTAGAAAAAAACCCATCTAGAAGCAGGTGCAAATAAAGAACAGACTATCAAAATGTGTTTTATCCATCCTCTTAACCTATTGAGAGTAAACTCTGGGTCCAGAACATGGGATTCTACCTGCAGGTTCGTATGTCCTTCAGGCAAACAATAACTATATGGATGATATTAATCAAAAGCAAAACTGGGCAGGAAGCACCTCAGTTTCATATCTGTCTTAAGAGGAAATAAGTTAAATCAAGTCCTTCATCACAAATATATAGTTTTTTTTCATGAGAACTAATCAGAAAATAACATTCCTAAAACGTTCCTGGACAACCACTCCATTCCCAAAACAACTGGAAAAAAAAAAAAAAAGCAACACTCAAAAGACTTATAATTGCTCTTTTTCAGCATACACTTTCAAGCTTCATAAAATCATTAAAAAAAAATAATGTTGTTTTGCTGATGGACTAATGCATTGCAGAAGGTTTCCAGGAAATATAATATTCTCTGTTGTCCATACGATAGATAAAATTTTCAACTAGAACATGGATTGCATTTAAGCAAAATGACAGTTTTATCATCCCCAGATGATCTTGTTGTACCTTTTCAAAGGGAAGCAATCTTCACTTTGAAAAATCTAAAGGTAAGTGAAAACTGATTACTATTCAGAGAATAATTATCAAAGTGAGAATCCACAGGATTGCAGTGGAACCTGACCAGAGTCCAGTACTTTTGAATATGCAGTAACTTGAATGACAGGACAAAACATAAGAAGCATCCTTAACAGAAAGCACCTACAGAGAAGGCCTTGCTGCTTCTATTAGACTGCAAACTTCAGTCATGCCCACAGTGTCATGCTACTTTTCAAAGAGGCAAACATCAAACTAGTTTACATAAACAGAAGTGTGGCAGTCCCCAAAATATACAGTTGAAAGAGACCTCAGAACGCTTTGCATGTAAGATATGTGACTCTTTCTTCTCTGCTCCTCACTGGCAGTTGGGGTACCATAATCTAACTTTAATTTGCAGAGAGTTAAGGCAGCCATTCAGAATGATCAGCTGTAGTAGCACAGGAAATTATGAGAAACATTAAAGGAACTGTGTTTTAGTCTATAGAAAAGATCATCAAAGGGGGACAAGTTACAGCTCTTTACAGGTGTTTTTTAAACATTTGGAAAAGAATGAACAGTTTCCTGTCCGTATCCACTGTGGTTAGGCCAAGAGGAAACCAACATGAAATGCAGTAAGAGAGACATACAATACACATTTAGGAAGAATTCATAAGAAAAGGCTAGTTAAGAGCTGGAATGAGACATCGTGGAATTGCTAAGAACAAACTAGACAATCACTTGTCATCAACGACAAGCATACAATCAGTTCTGCTGTGTAATAATGGGATTAAGTATTCCCTTTTGGCCATATCAAGCCTTTATCTTGGATTGTACAAATTCTTTTCCTGTATGACAAATCTGAGCACTGTGTTTCATAATCATGACTTTTAAAAATCTCTTTTAAAACTCCAGCTTCTACTGTATTTTAATAAGGATTCACAGTAAATACATTATTTATTTGTTTCACTAGTTATAATACTATGATGGGACCCATATTAAAATAAATTAATGTTCCTTGTTTTCACTGGAAAAAAAAAAAAAGAAAAGAGATAGTATAGCATTATACCATTAATAAATATTAGGAGAGGGCTTTAGTAATTAAAGCCTATGTCTAATTCCCACTGTAAAATATGAATAGTAAAAACAGACATTGACAGAATGTTTGTGATGCAAATGACTCTGATTAACAGTTTATCAACTTGCTAGATGCATTTCCGAAAACAAGAGGAGCACAGGCAAAAATGGAAGTCTCTCAAGAATTAAAAAGTGAAACTTCCAGAATCACTCAAAACCCAACATTAGTTATTGTAAGAAAAAATAAACCCATTCCACATTTTTCAGTGCATCACAACTCTTAAGAAGAAATGTTACCATAGTAACAAGGTCATCAGTAACCATTACATATAGCTTCTTCCTTTTTTGGCAAGGGATTTTGATATTGCCCTTTCAAATACCCCTTTAACACGCAGTATGAAAAACATGCTTTCTTTTTCAAGGTGGAGGGGAGGGGAGGGAGAGAGAAGGAGAGTCCCACACAGTTCCAAGTGCATCGTTTTATGGAAAATACACAATATCATCTGGTACAATTTTAGAAGCTGCTATTCCAGCCATCTTCCTACCACTAAACACAAATACCCTGCAACTAACCCACATACCACAGCAGTAAAACAAATGAATAACTATGCATAACACTGCTGAAACAATCATGGTGGAAGAATACAACTCTTAGAGAAACATTAGAAATACCATTAAAACTTCTAATAAATAAAAAAGCACTTTCAGAAACAGTTTATTGTCTTTATTAATATGTCTTCACATTTAAAGGCTAAGGAAAAGGCAGACATTTAGGCCATAAAGGAAAAACAAAAGATTCATAATAGTTTCTTGATGTGTAATTAGAAAAATATTGCCACAACACATATTCATCTGTACTAAATTGTCTAGAATACTCTGATGTTAAATCCAATGTCTAATGTTAAATATTACTTTCAGAGTATAAGTACTGCTGCAAAAGTTTTGCACATTTATATTGTTGTTTTCTCAAATCACAGAATAAAGTTTTTATTATTGTATCATCTTTTTTCTTTTCATTATATGTATTAAGTTTTTATTATGAAATCACTATATTAACATAAAAAGAAACATTACTAAGATGTTATGTATTTTAAGATTGTAAATAAAGGCCATCTGTCAGTAATGGACAAAATTCAAGATTTCGTCAATCTCACACGCCCATTCATAAGCCACCTGCTATTAGCAATATCCCAGTTTCCAACTAATATGTAGCTCTTTTTAGACTTTTCCTAAGTTTGCTTATGTGCAAAGGAGAGGAAAAAAATAGGATAAAATATGTTTTAGCAGTTCATTTTCTACTACCGTTAATACAAATTTATTTTTTCAATTATCTGTCTCTCCCAAAACAGCCATAGTCCAAAACTATGCAGATATAATGCAATCCTGAAATAACAAATTACATATGATCAAAAATTCACTTTGTGGCAAGTGTAAGAATACTCACACTTGCGGACTGAATGTTACTGTTCTCACCATCACAATAATCAGGATGACAATGGTTAAAATCAGAGAAATAAGAGATACCTGTAAAGGTAAAAACACTACTTTAGTCAGAAAGCTGCTGAAAGGCTTTTCTTTAACAGTATAATGTGGTTTTTTTTTTTTGTTCCCTAAGAAGAATAACCAAGTAAAGTTTTAAATATCATGTCAAGTATTTATAATTAGAAAGCTTGTCCTAGGTCATAATATTTTAATTTGTTATTCTTTTAAAGTAACTAGCCAATTACAACTATTTGTCTAATTTTAACTGATATTTCCATTTAAACATTTCTAATCAAGGGTGCTCAGCATTTCAAGATCAGGCCCATATCGTCCAGTGACTTGAGTTGTACTACTAGTAGATGGAAAAATTCCAGCGATTCATGGAGACCAAAATTTTGCTTAAACTATTCCAAGTTTGCCAATATTTCTGGTGACAGAAGATAGCCTGAACTTCTATAACATTCTTTAGCCAGATATAATTGATTTCAAATACATTAAGTTACGACTAGCACTTATTTTCTAATTGCATATAGAAAAGCAAAACAAAAATCAACTGCTATTATGATTTACCTTTCCTAGTTTTGCTATGTCTCGATATAAAGATATAGGCAAGGTAAAGATGATGGTGGTAAGAAGGATTATGAAGTGACGGTCGGTAAGCACGTTATCTGGTCCAACTAAAGCAAAAAAGAAAATAATTTACTTCCCTAAGAGGCAGACATGAGGAACTGTCCAGTTACACTTGAAAGTCTAGAAGTAACAAACTCTGATATTGACTACACTTTTATCCCCTTTACTCAAGCTAAGTAACACTGAAATAAAGACTAGGCATTAGCTAACCTTGTGGAAGCCAATCACAGCATGTGCATAATCACAAGAATTCTACAAATTCATAACAAATGCATAACATATGGGATATTATACCAAACTTTGTGAGTCTGGCATTTTTACATATAATTAGTATTAATTTTTTCATCATGCCTGGCATGATGATTTCTTTCGTCAGCATTGGCAGACTGCAAGTAAAACATTCCACTACTTCTTTCTGCCATTTACTCTTGAGGATTTTTTGACACTGTGTGTTGACTTCAATTACTGTGCTGTTAAAAGCAGCAAATTCTTAAAAAGAATCATCTTAAAATAAGTTAATTTTTAGACTTCTTTTGAGCATCTCCTTTCTTGCTGTCAGCTGGTTTACACTGCAAAATACAGATTACCATGTGTAGGCAAAAATAATGTTATAATATTCTCTGCAATCAGTGAGATTTATTTGTATAACTGGTGGGTTTTCTTTATAAAAGCTAATGACAACTTAAAATAAAACATAATTCAGTTTCAGTCAGGCTACCATGAATCATGTGCTCGAATGAAAGCCTGCTGAATAATTATGGTTGAAAAGTGATTGGCAATTGACATGGAAGTCTGTGTTCAGCTCCCTCTAATCTTTAGGAGATTATAATACTTTCCCATCTCTTTCCAGGCAGGCATTCTACCAGCCAGGTGAAAAGATGTGCCATGCCAGGGGGTTCCTCTTATCACAGAAGTCGTATTGTATATAAATTATTAGATATTCACTGTTGCTATCAACCCGATCAGGTATTCACAGAACAACAGAGTGTGACAGTTAAAACAGCATCCACACTTTGCAGGCTTCACCTGTTGAAACTGATAGTTCTGAGATGGAAATCAAACAGTTTATACAAATACTAATTTCCACTTCATAGCAGACATGTTCTTTTTAGTTTAATTTCCCAGTGAAAAATGCTTTAACTTAGCTGGCTTTGTGCTGAAGTAGATGGCAAACACTCAAACAAATTGCTCCACTGCTTCTGCTGTGAAAATTTACAGTAGAAGGGTAAGAAGTGCATGAGTTAAATAGCTCAAATTGCCACATTTGGTTTTGCAGTGAATATCTAATAGAACTGAAAGTTACATATGCAGTTCATGACCAACTATTATAAATACGCTTTTAAGTAAGGATTAAATCCATTACATTATTTGCAAGTCATCCAGAATTACTCAATAGATAAAATGCAGTTTTGGTATTCAAAATATTGTTATTATTATAGGAAATACCTAAAAAAAGATAGCAAAATATGATGACATTGTAAATATATCACTGTGGAAGACTCCTCCTATTTGCTTAGTATTTCACTGAAGCATGTGGGCTCCCACTGACACTGTGCCCAATAATAACCAAGGACTAGGATTCATAGTTTTTATTTGAGAAAGACTTACTAACAACAACAAGAAACCCCAAGCAAACCCACCCCCCAAAAAACCAAACCTGAAACAACACAAAAAACCTACTCACACAAATATGCAAGTTCTTAACTCGAACTATATTTAAGAGTAATTTAGAAGCAATGTAACAGGTAATCCCTAAATATTTGTTCTGTATTCCTATCAAATGTATTTTCCCCATCCTGAATTTTTAAAATGCATCTTACCTCCAGGAATTCTCTGAAAAACTTTAGTTAAAGTGTCTCCTGTTATTATGTTGTAACTGATCATAGCTTAAAGAAAATACAATTTTTTTGTTAGTACTAGTCAAATATGAAATATCTGATAAACATTTAATACACAATTTGAAGATTTCAGGATTATATGCCACTCTCCCTCTTGGATGAATTCTGGCTAGCACCAACATCTTCTAAGGGATTTTTTTTACTATTATTATTTTTATTTTTTTTTTAAACAGGTACAACCTAAGCAAGAATCCGGCCGATCAGCAAGGCAGTTGTGCTAACTTGCCATATAAGCTAACTACAGAAGAGAGAAAAAAGGCTTTTTAAATTGTTTGTTTCTAACAGCAATTCTTTGTCAGTTTATTTTCAGCCTTGTTTCTAATTAGGAAAGTTCCTGTGTTAGTGTACTCATCAATCCTACAATCAAAAGCTCATGTAAAAAGATAGCAAAGTCTTTAAACCAGAAAAAAAGAGGAGAAAATAGATAAAGGTATCAGATATGGACTTCCATTCTTCCTCTCATTAATAAGAATTGTAGCCTTAACATTCATATTTCATTCTTACCTTATTCTACACTAGAAGTGTGTGTATGTGTACATACAAATTATTTATTTTAAAGACTCATGGGTTTTTTACCATTTATACAGCACACATATAGGTATCTTTGTTGGTGACAGTAGGATTCAGTGCATCCTCAGCAAGACTGCAGATGACAAGTTGTGTGGTGCAGCTGACAAGCTAGAGGGAAGGGATGCCATCCAGAGGTGGGCTAGTGCAAACCACATGAAGTTCAACAAGGTCAACTGCAAGGGCCCCCAACATAAGAAGGATGTGGAGTCCAGAGGAGGGCCAGGAAGATGATCAGGCTGAGACAGTTGGGGTTGTTCAACCTGAAGGAAAGGCTCTGGGGAGACCTGATGGCAGCCTTCCAGTACCTAAAGGGGGCCTGCAAGAAAGCTGGAGAGGTATTTTTTACAAAGGCCTGTAGTGAGGGAACAAGGGGGAATAGCTTTAAATTGGAAAAGGGTAGATTTATATTAAATATTAGAAACAAGTTCTTTACTATGAGGGCGGTGAGGCACTGGAACAGCTTGCCCAGAGAAGTTGTGGCTGCTCCATCCCTGGGTGTTCAAGGCCAGGTTGGAGGAAGCTTTGAGTGACCTGGTCTAGTGGAAGGTGTCCCTGCCCATAGCAGGGGGTTGGAACTAGATGATCTTTAAGGATTCTAAGTACTGACCTCAACTAATGTATAAATATTCACTATTGTGAAAGTCATTAACACTACTTATAGAAACAAATTGAAGCACATACATATGCATAACTAGTTCATGGTAAGGACTGAGGTCTTTACAATTCTCTTCCATGTTCTCTATGAAGTAGTAATTACACTCTTTAAGTCAACATGTATGTTGCCCACAGTGACAGTAACTTGACTCCCTGAAAAATTTCAGTGACCAGTAATAAATTCAGACTGATTATTCCCAAAACAGGAATTTTGATCCGGGACTTCGTGGTCACAAAAGTCTTGGTATCTCAAGTCACCACCTCTTATAGGCCCATGTGTGAAAACAACAAGCTTATTTAAGACTTGACTGAATTGTGACAGATTCAGAATATCCCTTTATTTTAAACTTTCATCTAATTAATTCCTGCCCAGATTATAGCTGTTTGGTTTTTTACTATTTCTTCTTCAAAGGGGTCTTGACTGCCCAATTTCCTAGTAGCTCATTGGGCATGAGGCTGTTGAAGAGTAATGACAGCACATATTACTCAAGCGAGATCTGGTAAGTGGCTTCTCCAATGAGAAAAATACTACATCTTTGGAAAAATATTAATTCAATATACTCCTAAAGTTATCTTTTCCTTTTGTTTCAGGCACATCAACTTTGTGCTCTCTTATTAATTCTAGAACAGAATATCTTCTTTGCTATTTCTCATAGCTACTTTTGTCATTAATTTTTAAGTGTGTGATCATGAATTTCTCTGCTATTACATTTCAGTTAATTTCTATTATTCTGGTCCTCCAATTCATTGAATCCTTCCTCAGTCATTCTTCAGAATACACCAAGTAATTTATTTTTTTTTTTTAAATAGGAAAGAGGCATATACAGCATATTCTTTTCAGAGTTCTTAATATTTAACCAGTGAAAGAATGAGGTAATGTAAGAAACCTTGTATTTTATAAAACTTAAACATTTAAATTTTTATGTAATCTTACCAATAAATGGATATAAAAATTGAAGAGTTGAAAGAATTAGATAACCTACAAGCCCATATGTTTTTCTGACCAGGTCTTGATAGGTGTTGGCACTGGAGAGGTTTCCCCCTTTGATCAGTAATATAATGGAATAATCTGTTAAAATAAAAAATTACTGTTAAAAATATAAACCAACTTGTGGTTGCTGTTCATCTTTTTCACTCCTTAAAAAAAAAATTTAAAAAAGGTCTGTAAAAAGGAGAACAGTGGCACTGGGAAGAGGAGGGATGAAAAATCTCAAAGGATCTCAATCTACCAAATCCAGGAATTCAGGCTCATAGTAGAAGTTTCAGCTTTCCCAGTTAGAGACAGCAAAAAGTCTCATTTTCATTGGTTTCCAGCATGGGCAAATGGAATGAGAACTGCCACAAGCACCAAAAAAGGAAAATTCAACTAACAGCACAGAGGTCTCCTGAATGAATGGAGCATTTGATTATAGCCTGAAAGGGGGTAAAATGCAATGACTGCCTGTGTCATGGTGCTAGAACTCTCAATCACTTTACTTAGCTATTTATCTAAGTTTATGAAAGATAAAGCCTGGTTAGTATTTTGCATCTTCTCCATTGTTTACAATAAAATATTCTAAACATTTTTCTTGGATGCATAAAATAAAACACAGGCAAAGTGATTTTTCTGGAAACCCATGAAGCCATATGCCTTGAGACAGAGCTGATGTCTCAGACAGAATTACTTCCAGATTGAACCTCAACTTTTTATGAGGAACAGTTCAAAATATCGTAGTTATGTCAAGCTATGCTTTTGAATTTATTTGAGCACCATGGGATTTTCCAGTCCAGCACAAAATTTATTACCTTAGTACAGATGTCTTGACAGACAGTAGCTAAACCTTGTCTACTCCTCATCTGTCTTTCACTTAGCTTGTAATTTGTGCTGCAATAGGAACAGTTCCGTTCTGTGAACAGTATCAGTGTTTATTATCTTCTGGGAATGACTGAAATTTACGAAGGAGATTTCTACCATGTGTTAAAGTGAAAGCCAATCCAGAGATTCACATGAGCATATGCAATTCTTACACAGTATATACTCACACTATAACTGGGAGCAGACAAAAAGAGAAGTACAGAATTGCTCATTATCAATTTGTTGCATGCTGAGCTGATCTTGCACAAGAAATATTAAGCAAGGGCTCTTAGACCCACGAAACTTTAAAACAGATTTACCATATTATAGCATTTGTATTTGTCTGTAAAACTAGGACTACACTCAACATAATCAAAAAATATTCCCCAAAATACAGTGAGAATTGCTCAGTAACTGCTATTCACCAATTCCTCAGTAAAATCTATGGAAAATAAATGCTAATGTTAGATATTTATCCTGTATTTTAAACGCTACAAGTTGAAAAGTTGTAACTCTAGTTATAATTTGCTTGTGCAAGATATATTGAGCCAAATCTTCCACATAATAAAATACTAAGTTTAATTCACAGGTTCTGGGCCTATGGCTATAAAGCCTTCAAAATACTTAGAAATACAATAGACAAATCAGATTTCCTACAGAAAAGTAACTAAATTTTCTCAGCTATGTTTATGATACGATTTCATTAATGTATTTTGTTATCAGCAATAGAGAAAATTCTCCATTCATAAGGAATATATCCCTTATGTTATATTGCTCTCCAGTCAAACCTCAATTATTTATGCAGACCCTTACATGGTATTTTAAGCAATGGAAAGCATTAACTGCTGCTCAGCACACAAGTAACAGGATTTGTAACATTCATGTTGACCTGGTTCATCATTTTAAAACTTGAATCCAGACTCTTTATAGAAATTTGCCTTTGATGTCAGTGGATTTATTTATGTTTATTTACCATGTGATTTCGAACCCCGTCCCTTTTTGAAGATAAATCCATTATCTTTTTTATGACTGATAACTAAATAAAATATTCAAAATCATAGTACAACCAAAGGTTTTTATTCTGTGGTGTATTTTTAAAAAACATATATTTTTTAAAATATATAACCCTCTCAAGGATCAGTCTCTTAATTAGGGTAAAAGCAGTGGACTAAACCAGGTGATTATGAGGGACAAGTAAGAGCTATTCTTCCAAAAATCACCTTGACCTAGTCTAAGAAACTATGTTTTATGAAAACAAAATGCACACAAAAAAGCAGCTTTATATGTTGTACAGTATAATTCTCTACTTTTACTAATCTGCTCAAGAGATTAGTGAGGTAAGGAAAAAAATCTGTCATTTTAATTATCATACATATACTTGTTTAAGGTATTATCAAGCTCAAGATAAGCTAAATGTTTCAAGGCTAATTTTCACTTTACAACAGAAACTGCTTTTAAAGTACCTGTGATATAGGCAACCCCAAATAAAAGCAGTACTCCCAGTGGAAAACCAGCTTCCTTCATTGAATATGGCAATCCTGTAAATAACAAGAGGAGAGATTACAGAAAAACCTTCCCAAATACTTATTGTGATAACCAAAATAAAGAAATATTCAGATTAAAAAAAATAATTCTATCAATCACCCAAAATGGACCAGCATGCTTAGTAACTTCAGAAAGATCATTCTTAGTGGACAAAGTGTTGCCTAGGTGTGAAGTTCAGTTAGCACTTGCCCAACTTATTCTCTTATCATGGCAAAGAGGCTGTAGGGTATTTATCAGTGAGAGACATGATCTCAGCTGACACCTCTGCATTTTTGCATAGTAAGCAAATAAAAACAGAAAAAAATCTTTAGGAACAACAGAAGACAGCAAGACAGTGTTATTCTCCAAACTGGACAGTCATGTATGTATAAAGAAGGCTGAACGCAGAATAGTGAAGAAAAGTACACTTACCTATTATTCCTGATCCTATGATAGAGTTTATAATGTTAAATCCAGCTGATGCCAGATCACCTTTTCCTCCTTTCTTCCTGGGTTTACTAACAAGGGCTGTTTGGTCATCCACCTATTTCAGAAAGACAATGATAACATTATACATGAGAAAAATATGTGAGAACAGGGATTTTACAGATAGTCTATTCAAGATTAAAAAAAATAAATAAATGTCATAGACTCAGATTTGTAGAAGTATTTTGATACCTAAATCCCATCTTTTCAGTGAGAAATCAAAGGGATGTTAGGCATCTAATTCCTGTATAAGTCTGACCCAGAATCCTCTGTAATTAATTTTCCTCTGGAAAAAAAAAAAAGAAAAGAAAAAGTGAAAGGACAGAAATGTACATAAACTCAGAGGCACGTTGTTAAACAAAGAGCTTTTTAGTCACTTTCCAAAGGCAGAAATGTGAATCACCTAGTTTTGAAAGTATCTTGGCTAACACGACTGGTCAGTAAAAATGGGCCACTAAATCAGGGGAATTAAATATCAAGAGTTACTAGTAAAGTATGCCAACATCTGAAGATGCTCTAATTCAAGGTTTTATCCAGCATTTTAAATATTTCTGTATCATCCAATGGTTTAGTTCACTATGAATAGTCAACGACACTATAAAATTGGCTAGTCCCAGAAAATTTCTATGGGAAGGTCTGGTACAAACCAAAGCACAATGTGTAGCTGATAGCTCCAAAAATGAAAGCTTTTCTCTTCAAAAAGCATTTCTTCATAAGCATGTGGTGGTCCTCTCTTCAGACCACCACTGCTGCCAGAGAACATTTTAGAGTCATTCATTAGACGGCCAGTATTTTAAATGGAGTTGCATAATTCGGAAGAGGAACATGCATTTAACGAAGAAAATGCTCATCTGTGTTCTGCAAAAGCAAAACATTGTGCGCTTACCATGATCATAAAACCACTGTTTCATGGATGCAGAAGCCTATTTAACATATACAGCTGGTAGCACAAACTCAGGTGCTTGTCACTAATACTCCTGAAAAAGAAATTAAATTACTGACAAAGCTAACTCATCTGTAGATAGTGGTATAAGCTGACAAGCATAAGACTGCCTCAAAGAGGGCTACATATTTAAGTGAAACCTGTAATCCTTAAGCAGTACTAAAAGTACTAACTAGAAAAGTAATACTGGCTCAGATCAAAAGCTAGTATAACCTACTATCCTGTATCTGAGAGTGGCCATAGAAGGCACTTAGGGAAGAGTGTAAGACATGAAAAAAATACAGCAAACAGCTTCCCTGTCTTAGCTTTCATCAGGTTTCATATCCCAGGCTTCCTCAAAGCAGGTATGTTCACAGTGCATCACATGCCTTAACGGACTGCTCCTTGAATTTGCCCCTTTTCTGAAGCCATGTATACTTCTTAGCATCTACATCATCACAGAATCATAGAATGGTTAAAGTTGGAAAGGACCTTAAGATCATCTAGTTCCAATCCCCCTGCCATAGGCAGGGACGCCTCACTAGACATGCCACCCAAGGCTCTGTCCAACCTGGCCTTGAACACTGCCAGGGATAGAGCATATCATGTGGCAATGAATGCAACATCTTAACTATGCATCACACAAAGAGACAGGCACTCTTCTTTATTAAGTATTTCCACTTGAGTTCCCCAAAATTTTTTATATCATCACAGACAACCCAACCCCTATTTCCTACTTACCTTCTCCATACCACATATAGTTTTATAGGTAGCATTCTCCCTCAGCATTTCTCATCCAGACTTACAGGTGCTACATTTTACTTCACCACTGATTTAAGCAGCAAAACCATCACTCTCATTCTCTCTTAAAATTTTAATGCTCTCTGCTACTTACAGCACAATATACATGAAATTGCACTGAACTAGAACAGTCCAGTTGCTTCTCTCCAGTAGTTACAAGAAATGTGTATTGTACAGCTCAAAGACACCATCATGAACACTAGTCCCCTCCCCAACTGGAAAAGACACATCCGAATGGGCACAAAAGACAGGAAAGGGCACAGAAATTGTGACACAGGTGAAATGGTTCCTGTGTGAAGACTAGCAGTGGTCTTGAAGGTGCACTTGGACTACAGAGGGGGGACAAAATGCCTGTTAGGAGGCAAGCTATGACATATGGAAAGCTATTGAAGAGGTGAACGGAATGTGTTGGTCCTCTCCCACAGACAAGTTGTAAGCCAGGAGACAGCCACTATCATACTGTTAGCAGCCCGTCTACCAGGAGGTAGGGTGCCCAAGTTCTGGTCCTCAAGCAACATGGAATTTTAGC